GATACGGACAATTGACGGCGCACTCACAATCTGACGAAACGCGCTCAACTTTTCAGACGCACGTACGTCGCTTCGCTACTTTTTTTGTATATAAGTAATCCAAGTAATACATTTTGTATTTCGTTGTTACCTATTATAAAAGAAGCGCTATCGCGCTGCTTAGCATTTTTCGACACAGAATAAAAGGAGCGCTGTCGCGCCGCTTGGATCTTTTCGCATCCCATTCAGAAAGCGCTATTGCGACCGTGTTTTTTTTAAAAACCTCTGGTACTCAAACGGTTAAAATAAGCAGTATATAATTCCATGTCGCAGTCTGGACAGTATAAGCACCGCGGATCTTTCTCGGCACGTCCGTACGAGCTCAACGATAAAAGGTTTAAATGTAAGAAATGTATTCTAGGAACGTTGAGATAATTGGTCATTTATTTGGACGACAACGTGTCATACTTACTCGACTCCTTAGGAACTCACGAATTTTTACCGTATTTTGTTACATTTACGACAATAATTCGTTGAATTCGTCTCAGCTAATGCCATCCTACTATGAAAATAATACACGGTTCAATTAAAAAAAATGAATTTAACCGAATTAAAAAGAATAATTTACACCATATGATGTCCACCTTCGTACCAAACAACTTTTCTGAAAAAGTTTCTTTGACATTCCAACATTGCGAGTTAAGGGAAACATCTGGTATACGCGTTTCGCTGTCAAAGGGTTAAATAACAACTCTAGTTTCCTTCTAATTCTACGATAATTACATTTGAACGTTCTCGATAGTAGAACTCTTTCGCTCGAAAGGATATAAATTTCACTTTTTTTTTCCAACCAATCAGGCCGAAACCAACATTACTACCGACCCAAGAAACTGGAATAGGAAATCAAATATTCATCAAACGTTGGAACCAATCAACCTTCTCCACCTCTCCTTGGACACCACACAAGCATGCAAAGATCGAGGCGGAAAGACGCCAAGCGTCTCGACATCGGCGGCCATTGTTGCCAGGAAGCTTTTGTTCGGCGGCTGTGCGACCGCAGAGTGCGGACTTCGCGCGCGACGCCGCGCGTCGTTTTCTCGTTTGAGCCTCGCGGTAGCCTCCGTTTCCAGGATGCCAGGGCTTCGCGCTTTGTCCACAGAGCCGCAGCCAGCACCCCGACAACAAGTGGTAATTAATTCTGGGCGAAACAATCGGCTCGCTACCGCTGAAGGAACAACCAAAGCGCCAAACAGAGGCCGGGGGAGGCCGTTGGAAGCTTTCCGCCGCGAAAACATCGGTTGTTTCGTGCAAACGTCTCCCTGTTCTCCCCGCGCGAGCTCGTAAAACAGTTTAAACGCGAAAATCGACTGTTTGAAACGCGCCACCGTTATCGCTTCTCCTCTCTTTCTCGCGGTTTCGCCGGTGCGCGGAATTTTTGATCGAAACGAAACACGGATGAAACGCGAAATGCGAGGGAAAGTTGGGCAAAAGTTTTGTCAGAGTGTCAGGTTGTCTGGTGTTGGTTTAGGTTTGTATAATTCTGGACAATTGTGAGGGTGTTTTGTTTGAATTTGAGTAATCTTTTGCGGACTCTGAGTTCAATAATTTAAACTGTAAAATGGAAAAAATGGAAGGTGCTCTCATAAGTTAGCGACTATACCCGAGTGACGTGAAACGGCCAGTAAGTAAATCAAATATATTTGCAAGTTTCTATTTAAAAAATTTCTTCTGTCTTCCATGCGAGTGATTGTGTTTTTGACGTATCATGCTTTCCTCTTTACTATCTTCCATTCCACAGCAATAAATGATTAAACTCAGAATTCAGGAATTTCTGTCACATTCTGTATTTCACTAAATATTCAAATAATCGTGCTTTCCTTCTTACGATTTTCCATTCCACTGCAATAAGTTATTAAACTCAGAATCCAAGAACATTCGCTACACATTGTATCTCACTAAACAAGAGTCACCGTTAGCATAATTATATCTCCGAAATTTATTTCACTCCTGTTTGAAAACTTATTGAAACCAGATCAACCCGTGAGAATTTCTAATGATTTAATTATGAGTAGAAAAAAGTGAAAGCCAGAATTTTACCAGAGATATTTATCTAAGAACCTGAAAATTGGAGAGCAACTATTGCCAAAGGAAATGAATTTTAAAAAAACGCTTTATCTCGTGTCATTTCCTATCGAAGTCCCACTTAAAACGATATTTACAGTCCATCTATCGATATCCGCAGGTTATGCTCCACTGCATCTACACCCGTGAAACCGTATTATGCATCAACAGTTCTTTGGTACAAGCTTCTCATTCGAATCCTGCTATCACTCTGGTTGCGTGACTTGGACGTTCGTAGAAATTCGCGATAACCGGGCTGACACGTTCCATGTCCATTATTTATCCGCGAGTAGGCTTGCGAATGGCCTCTTGTTCTCCTTTCGTCCACCGTGTTTATTCTTAACCTCAACATCGTGTCCACTCTTAAATATCGCTTTCCTTTCTAATGTACCTCTTAAAATTCACGCCTGAAACAATCGTCTTTTCACCACGAACAAATCGGTAAAGCGGATAAATGGAAAAATGTACGAGCCGCTCATTTGCCGAATCGATTAACTGCATAAAACAGAAAATAGAGAAAATTGATATACATCAAATAACAGATATTAATATTTGTTATACCGTTCCGTTGAATTACATTGTTACAACGATTTGCTTTAGAGTATGGAATTAATCGCATTAGTTTCTGAGATAAATTATTTAATATTCTAAATTTTCAATTTAAAAATTAGGAAATTTATTTTAAATATAAAAAGATAAGCATCAAGTGCTCTGGCGCTGAAATGAAAAAAAAATACAATAAGTGGAGTTAAACAATTTGAACCTGTGAACGGCTCGTGTACAGAAAGGAGAAAAATAATTGCATCGGATGGAAATAAACGAAAACGCAATTTTCCACGATTTAAAAATCGAGGCGCGATTACGACTCGTCGATAATTCAGCCATAACGGTTGATTCTGCCGCCGGTGGCACACAACACCGCCGTTTCATCGGGTAAACACAGCGTCCGAATGCCTTTCATACTCATTGATCGGACGCGTTATCCAAGTGCCTATCGCTCGTTTACAAACTGCTTTATACGAACCGCAAACAGGCGGCAACGAGCGTGCACCAGCAAACGCGTGTTTTCTTCTTTTCAGTTGTTCTTCACTGTTTTGACAGTTTCTTTCCCTTTCGTGTTTCTTTGTTGCACCGATATTTTTTTTCACGCTTACGCGTGTCAGAGTAACCTTTTTCTTTCTTGTAATTGAATTTTAATTGCAATCTTTTATTTTTCATTTTTTTAACGTCGCATCACCTGCTCGTTATATTCTTGTTTATGTTGAGAAATCGTGCATTCGTTTGTGCAGAGTAACTTGTTCAATTGAAACGGCTGAAATTATTAGCTGACGGCGTTGGTAAATAATTTTTTAGGCTTGTGCCCAAATTTAACTTTTCCAGTGTTCTAGACTTTCAAAATTTCTGGGACACTTATCGAAGCCTCTAGTACATTGCACGATTGTTTGTTATGTCGAATGTTTGAAATATTTTTTAGCGAAAATAAAAAGAAACACAAGAGTGAGTTCTGAGGAAGTTCTGGGTTACTTATCAAAGTTTCTACTGTATTCTACAATTGTTTGTTGAGTCAAATGTTTGAAACTGTTTTCGATAAAAATAAACATTCAAGATGTAAGAGTGAAAAGCTTGGATTGAATAAACGACGAATTTTAATTATTTTGAAATTGAAACTAATTTCTTTGCGTTGTTATGGTATTATAATGGGACTTGTATGTGTTAGTGGTTTTAAATAATCGATCGTCCGACAGTTCTCAATGTCTGACTTTAGACGATTAGCCTCTAGCATGTTAATTTTGTAAGCTTTTATAGCTGCGTCACGAATAATTGGAAGCACGAATATGACTTGGCATTATAGAGCGAAAGATTAAAGATTGATTACGTTCAACTTCTGAATTATACGTATTTTGCTGGTAGTTACGAAAGTATATTTTTTTCGTTTCCTTTGCCGCATTGATAAGTCTTTGCTCTTGCAGTGCAAATTTCTTTTCTGTGAAAAGCTCGATGCAACAGAAGATAAATAATAAATACAATTTTTTTTAACTTTTATGTAAACTTGAAATTTTGACTTAATTTCTACTGTATCATTATGATCCATTTTTTCTCATTGTCTAAATACTTGTCCATATTTTAGGAACTTCTAAATTCTGACATAATGAAGAGAGATATTTTTATATTTTTAGGCATATTATAAAGTTTTTGCTCTTATACAGTACAAAATACACGGTGAATTCAATTTTTTTTTCACCTTTGACTTAAACCACTTTCATAATTCTCGCATATTTACCATTAATTTTTCCTTATTGCCTAAAATACTTGTCCAGGCTTCACGAGTTTGTATTTACGACGTAATAAAGTATGATATTTTTATGATTGATCGTTGCTCGAAAACTCGTGGAAGAATTAGCATTCGATGACGCCTACAAAGTAAAGAAAAACAGACCGGTCTGCTTCGAACGATATTTCGCGATGACGAATATAAATGCTATTTTTCGCGAACTTAGTCGAACGTTTTCTACATCCTTCTCTACGTATTATTCACGAAATTGGTCTCCTTTTCTTGGTCGGTGTACGAGAAACACTGCGAGGAAGTACTTACGAGCGCCATTTTGAAACTCGCCTACTTACGAGCTTCTGAAGGACTTGAAAATCCATCACTATTGCACAACTTTTCCAATCGAAAAATTTCCCAACGAAGCTACTTTCCTTCGAACCGCGAGCTCCGTGGGTGTATTTCAACCGTCGAATTTTTCTCCGATTTTTCCGTTAATATTTCTCGTGTGTTCAATAGAACTTGAAGCGCTCGAGGCTTTTCTGCTTTTTTCTCTTTTTGTTTTAGAATACTCGAACAAATTCGAACTTGTTAATTCATTGTTTCTAATTATGGAAATGGCGTATTGTTACAGGTGCCGAATGGAAACTCCTGACGGAGGATGAGAAACGACCCTTCATCGATCAGGCGAAAAGGTTACGGGCACAGCACATGAAGGAACACCCTGATTACAAGTACAGACCTAGAAGAAAGCCGAAAACGCTGCGGAAGGAGGGATATCCGTACAGTATTCCGTACCCCAGCGTGCCCATGGATGCGCTTCGAGCTGGTGAGTTGATATTTCTAGCAGATACAGTCATTTTTTGAACAATTTAACGGTTAATTGTAGCCATGAAATGATTTTTAATTAGTAATACAATAAGAGATTGTGTTGACATTTGGAAAGGAAGTACATAGAGCGTTCGTGTTATTTGGAGAATAGTTAAATGTGATAAAAATTGGATTGTATATTTAAAATGATCTTTCTTAAGTTCTATAAATGAAAATTGCAATTCTAAATTCTATAAATGGTATTTTAACTTTTATAAATAATAATTTTGAAGTTTATGAATGAAAATTGTAATTGTCGATTCTTTAAGAATCTTCGATACAAAGACAAATCCTTATAATTATTTTCGAAAGTGTATATCCTCAGTCAACAACGTATTAAAAAATCCATAATTTAAAACTTCCATCTTCCATTATTAACAATTTCGTTTTTAATTTTGTTTAATGTATACCGATCAACAAATTTACATTTACACAGAAAATCTGAAATTTACGATAATCAGAATTGCTTAAATTAATTTTTCGTGACATTAACGGGGCACAATGGGTGTCTCCCATGTAGTAAAAATCACATTTGTATTTCCTTTGCTAACTTTGTTAAAATTAAAATTGTAAAACCTTCGAAACGAATTAATAACTACACTTTGATCGAATCTAATCATATCTTTAAAGTGAAAATATTAAAAAAACCTTTTGGGGCACTGTATTCCCTATGTCAGTGTTCTTCATAAGTACTTGCCCATTGAAATACTTTTTCCACTTTATTCAGAAATCTGATAAATTTGTCAAAAGTACTATATTTTTCTAAAATAAAAATTACAAGACGAGTTAAATCCTTGACTTCTTCCTTGGAAACTAATGGTTGAACGAAGTTACTTACTGAAATAAACAACATCGTGAACAAATGAGTAGACAAACACTTTCGTCATATTCAAAGGGTTAAGTCAAACAAAGGAAAAGATTCTGCAATTCTGCGACACATCTAACCTACCCCAAAAAACTACCCCAAAAGTGACCATATTCCATAGAGTACAAGTAACGTTATATTTCTTTTACCAACTTTATTAACACTAAAATTCCAAACTTTAAGACAAATTAATAAATGCACATTCGTTAAATCTAACGACATTTTTTAAACGAAAATGGAGAAAGAAATCCCTCGAGGCATTGTATCCCAAAGTGAGTGTCCCAGGGTTAATCTACGCCTATTAACACCGAAAAACGTAGGAGAAGCGAATGAAAAGGGACTTCCATAATTCCATATAAATATTCCTCTTCGGAAACGGTTGATCCACCATCGCGATAGGAAGGAGACAATGCAATTACGATAGCCAGAGACAAGGCTGGATCGATCCACGCGGAATCTCGCGACTGGAAGGTGTGTTGCGGCGGAGTACAATAGAGAAAGAACAGTTCGTCTGGTAGGGCTTTGATATTCTTATCTTTTCGGCTCGCGTTTCAGCCGTATTGTTGCCAGTGATGCCCCCGGGATCCGTGGTCGGAAGTCTTATAATGGCGATTTCTTCGAGGTTCGCCCGACCCTCGTTTCCTCCTCGCCATTTTCTCCAGAGTCTCGCTAATGGTTCACGCGTTACCCGCTTTTTAGCGTCAAAGACGCGCTCTTTTCGCCGGCCATCGCCGGTTATTATCAACCGAATACTCAGAATGCACTTGCGCAAACAGTGGAACGTGGCGAACACTTCACAGGCGAGGTTTCTTTATCGATGACGCCACGTCTGGTCAGTTTTTCTTCGTTTCAAGTATCACTGTGTTTATACTGTATTTTTAGTGTTTCCTTATTTTTTCCTCGTTACAACGAGAATCGTTGGGTACAGTAATAAGCATAAGAACGAGCACAATATTGGGTAGCTTTAGTTAGCTCGTTAACGCTCCAAATATTTGCTCTTTTCATGTGACACTTTCAACTTAATTTTCTGTGGTAGGTTGGAAAGGATGCGATGCAAGTTGGGAATAAGATGAATTAAATTAGACGTGGTTAGGGTAGGATAACTTGTCTATTAGGTCATTTCATGAATTTGCGTCGAATTTTATAATTTAGATCAATATTTCTAACGTAAGCGCTTTCTCATCTCACAACTTTTTCCTATTTCTTTGGTAAGGCCGTTATGTCGTCGCTATAAAATTTCCTTGGATTTTCATTAAAACATTTTTCGCTTTTGGCCTGAACTTGTGGAATTACTTAATGTTTCCTCAAACAGAAATTTTTCAAGTATTATTTACAAAGAATGCAATGCAGTTGTGAGGGAAATGTTGGGAATGAAATGAATAAAATTAGACTGGGTTAGGTTAAAATTAACGAGATAATTTAGGCGATTCTTTAGATTATACTGTTTCCTTAAACAGAAATTTTTCTAAGGACAGTATTATCAAAAGTTGCTTGGTTAGAATTTAAAGACAAAGTTAAAAAGTGAAAGTCTTTATTTTGTGTCTTCAATATATGATAAATATTCTTCAAAACATAATTAATTAGTTTAATTTTATTCATATACAGAACTTCAATAATTCTCAAACAATCAATCAGAGCAATTAAAATACTCCTCTCCTTGTCACATTTTGTATTAAAATTTAAACAAGCGCAACTGCATGCAACAGTTTCAATTACAGAATGTATCAAACACGGATTGGAAGACAGTAAAAGGAAGAGCTTAATTTGGAATTTTTATTATTCAGACTCAAATTGTAAAAATATTCGAGTTACGTACTGTCACTTTGTTTTCAAATTTTGGACTCACTCAGCGAGTACTATCCTTTCCTTTTCAGTCACAGTAATTTATTACGTCCAGAATCCAGCGACTTTCGTTGCACACCGTATCACAAGACTGTTACGTCCAGAATGAACCCCAAAAGTATATTCATCTCTCAAACGCATCTCCCACAATCGTTCACAAAAGTATCTCGCATCAAATCTCCAAACACAACAATTCAATTGGTCCATTGTTTAACCGATTTACCTCGCCCGTAATCGTACCGTTCAATCATTAAATCGGCATCTGTCGATTTCGATCAGCGTGCCTTATCTCCATTACGAAAACATCCCCGCGAAATCGCCAGGGGAACAGATGTTCGATGAATCGCGCTCTCGCTTACACACACTGGATCCTCCTCTCTCCCCCCTTTTCGTTCAGGTTTGCACAGATTTGTTTGACGTTCCGGCCTCTCCATTGTGCCCATTGTTTCCCGCCTCATAGCGGATTACGTAATTTTGAATTTCTCCGCGGCGAGTCAAAGAAAAACGGGGGTTCCGGATACGGAACAATCGAACGCGAAATTATGATCGTGAATGGCGTCGGTGGCGACGGCGAGGGCGAACGAATCGCTCGATGCACGAAATTTCCATTTAGCTGTCGCCCGGGACAACGAACGGTTCACGCGAGAATCGATGCTGGCCCCCGGCACTATTTTAAAGTCGACGAATTTGCCCAGACAATCTGGCCTTTGCAACTTTTCCTACCGTCTTCTCGATCCTTTATGAGCCATCGTTGCAAACGTACGACATGGTATGTATAGTGAATTTTGTTACCGACAAAGGAACATCCTGAAGTGATGATCATTGATATTGACGAGACTTTGGTATATGGTAGTACTCGGAAAAATATTTCGCACCTATTTGTTTCTTTATCGGCAATTGTCCACGTTGAAGGGGTGAAAATCGCCCCCGATTTCGATAGTAGAGTGAAACAAAATAATTTTCTTATGGAGGAAGAGTAATTTGGGACGTAAAGGGTTAGATAGACGATGATTATACGGGTCCTTTTATCGTTTCACTATTGTTCATTTTTTGTGGTATAAATTACTTGTTTTGTTGTAAACTTGAGGAAACTGTATAAATTTATGTTCTTACAGCTGACATTAGCAGCAAAATCAAATAAAGTAATTGTTTTATGGAGAAATAATAATTTGGGACTTAAAGGGTTCATTTTCTGTGATACAGAAACTGAACCGCCTAATAGTCTAATTGTAAAACTACCACAATATGTGAAATACGGTGGTAAAAAGAATACCAGTGCAAATATTATAAATATCAACGTTCCTAAGGAAAAGTAGTAACTACATTTTTCCACTGTTAAGAATACAAAATAGAAAAGCAGATTTAATTGTTTTGTATCAAAAATTTTCCTTGGTCTCTGTGTATACCTGAAAGAGTAGGTATTAATTTTTTCAAATCACTTTCTTTCTTATATTATAAATATAAGCATTCTTGAAGAAGAAGTATAACAGTAGTATTTTATTTCCACTGTTAAAAATATAAGAAAAACCCGAATTGATAGTTTTGTGTCTGTTACCTGAAAGAATACAGACAACCTTCTTATAATACGGTTAATTCGTACGTAGAAGAGTTGCCTGAATACCCAAAATATTAAAGCTATCCAACAACCATAATGCAAAAAATTAAGCAAGGCAAAAGACACTTTCATTGCTGTTAGCGCCCATAGGTGCTTTGATAATTAACTCACACTGTACAGTTCGTGCCTTTTGGTGCACTCCTAGCCTAATTTCATCCTTAATTTTACCCTACAATTATAAACTATAAAAAATAAAAGATTTCACTGCTACGGTTGACAATCTACCCTCTGTCACGTGAGTCACGTGCTAAAATCTGCCGCAGGGAAAGGGTTAAACAATTATATACAGACTTCGCATTGTGAATCGCTGATAAAGAAGAAGAAGAGAGGATGTCGTTGTTATTTACACAAGGGGGATTCCCTGTTAATTCCAACCGAAACAGCGTGACGGAAAAATTCGCGCTACATCAGCATTATCCAAATTTATCAATTCGCGGTGTATGAAAAGCGTGTTATAAAAATATCGCGTTACAGGAAGGCTGTCGCAATTTTTGCACCGTGTTACAGGAGGGTTGCTCGCGTTAATTCTTTCCTTTGCCAAACCTCGAACTGCAGGCTCGTGAATCAATTCGTCGAACGCATCGTCCACATAAATCCGCATATCGACACCGAAAAGAGTCACAAACCGCGGGAAGCA